GTGATATTTAAATTGCAGTCTGTTTTTTTAATTTTAATTCTTTTGTTGGAGCTCAACGCGGAGGGAGTGTTGGGTGCGACTGCACAGTCCCACTGTCGCTCTGCCCCCCCCATCAAAGATCTTAAAAAAAATTCTACTGAGTTTCTGTTTTGCTACAAGGATATATGTTGGGAAGCCATTGCAGGAGCAGCCATGAAGTTGATAGGTTTCTGAGCTGATAAATAAAGTTTAGAGAAGTATGTTTGTATTAATCTTTAGACTCTGGAGCAATATCCAAAGTGCTTCCCTTTTAAAAAGTAATGTCAGAAGCTGTTCTGAAAGCTAATCAATGGATATTTTATCAGTTCTTTTCTCATTGGGGGCTGCATAGGAATAGGGTGGGCTAGGGAGGGATGTGTAATGACTGGGAGGGGGAGCAGGAAATGCTTATTTTTCATGGGGTGTAGGTGTGGTACTGTCTTTTGCAAAGCAATGCACATTTTAAAAAATACAAATCCATTTTAGGATTTGCATTAGCATTACTTCAGAATTGATCTCACACCTGCTTAAGACCTGAGGCAGGCTTTCCTTTCATTGCTGAACATGCCATGCATCTACCCTTTGAGATTGCACGCTAGTATTAATCTTATTGGGGAGGTGCTGGACTTGTTGAATGTCTTTCCTTGTGACTGCATTCCAAGAGGTGGGATTTCAGTCTGTATGAGGGCCAGTTCTCTCATAATCAGTGTACTCTATGCATGAACAGCTTCATCTTTTTCCTAGCCGCATGCTAATTTGAAATTACACACATAAATAAAGTGGTACCTGGGAGTGCCCACAGTTTTCCTGTGATCAAAATGACTGGAAGAAATTGTAGAATGAAATAACTGCCAGGACAGCAGAATGAGAGCTAGTTAGGAGTTTGATCTCTGGAGTTCCCACATCACATCTCACTTCAGCCATAAACACTACTATTGGCCTCAGTCCCACATCTGCAACCTGGGGGTTACCTGGTGAGTTGCTTGGTAGTTGTAAGGATAATTGAGATAGGCACTTTGACTACTTGAAATGAACTACATCAGTGCTTATTTTTCTTCTGGATATCTCTGCACAATTGGCTTTGGCCTCACATTTCCTATGCAATTGTCAAGGAGGGGTAGCAGCCTCTCACTAGTACAGGAAACCTTGTTAACTGGACCATTGTAAGATACTCAGTTATTTGATGAAGAAACCATGATTTAGTCCCTGAAAAATATCTGACACAAATATTATCCACAATGCTCCTCCCAAGGCGCAGGTGGTTCTTTGGTTTGCTCGCAGAGCTTGTCTGCTTCCTCCAAAGTCCATGGTTTCAAAAAACATCTTTTGTGGGGACAGCAGGACATGGAATCCTTTGGCTCATCTCTCTCTCTCCCCCACCATTTATCTTTTTAGACTACTGGGAGCCTGTTCCAAGTACGAGTGGTTGGAAGCTCTGCAAAGTGCACCTATCTTTCTCCTCAGGACAGCTGGCCTCTCTACCATCCAGCTGTGGACAGGTAAGAGAAAATACAAAGACCCAGCTAGACAAGACTGAGGTGGGTATGTATCCAAAGAGAGGAGGGCTGCGGAGCATAACCAGGGCCCACAATCTCTTGCAAACTGGGAGTCTTGCTCTCTCAGCAACTCCATCTCCAGCTTTATCCAAAATGTATGCTTCTCCTTTTCTTACACAGCTATCAAGAAGAGACCCCGATCTCTTTCTACATATGTTGAGGAGTGAGAGATTTCTGATTATTATTGATCAATGAGATGAGGGGTAGTTTAATTACTCTTTTACTTAGAAATAAGGAAATGCCCACTGAGGCATCTGACAGTATGAGGGCACAGGTGACGTGGTTATCATCTATATATCTAATACCCAAGTGGCCCCGTCTGTGCGGATATCTAAATCCGCGCTCCGGGGCCACCTGGGGGGCAGGGAGATGTTTGTGCGCACGTGGGGCAGTCCCCACGTCTGCACAAAAATCCGAAAACTTCAAAAAAAAATCAGGGGGATACTTAAATCCCCCCGAAACT